CTCCCTTTCTCACAATACAAGAACTCGTGGGCTCTCCATGAAATTGCTGAGCGGTCGGATTAGAATGGATAAAAGGAAGTACTTCTTTACCCAAAGAGTGATTAACACTTGGAATTCACTGCCACAGGAAGTGGTGGCAGCTACTTTCAAGAGGGAATTAGATAAGCATATGGAGCAGAGGTCCATCAGTGGCTATTAGCCACAAGGTATAGATAGGGACTCTGGGGCAAGTGATGCTCTGTCATCTTGGTGCTTGGGGGGGGGGTCAACAGTGGGATGGCTTCTAATGTCCTGGCCCCACTGGTGGACCTCCTGATGGCACTGGTATTTCTGGCCACTGTGTGATACAGAGTGTTGGACTGGATGGGCCTTTGGCCTGATCCAACATTGGCATCTCTTATGTTCTTATGTTCTAAGAAGTGAAGATTTCCGAGCTAGCCGTCACACTAATAGCCACAGAGTGGCTCTCCATTGCTGCCTCCTGGAAAAATCCTGATCCCCCATCCATTTCTCAATGGCATAATAAGTGTTGGGCTCACTATGTCATGGACAAAGTTGCAGATACTTATGATGCACACACAAAAGGAAACATAGGGTCCCACTCTAGATTCGTTCGCAAGTGGTTCCCGCTGTTAGCATATTTTGCAGAACACGACATATTGCCAACAAATCCCAGCTATACAGAATGAGGATATATTTTTAGGTCTGAGTAATCTTCTCTCCTCTTCTTTTCAATTTGGTGATGCCATAAATTAATGATATGATGATTCTGATAAGGATTTTCGATTGTACTAGTTGTACTCACTATCAATGTTTTAGTTGCATACACTATTGTAATTGTATCTGAACGCATGGCAATATTTGATTAATAGGTTTAACTATGGATTGGTATATATGTAAGCTGAAATTCTGTCTTTCAATAAACATAAAATTAAAAAAGGAAGTACCTTTCTTGCTAAAGTTACTGAATAAACTATTGAAAATAGTAGGAGTATACTATAAATCTCTTGAAAAAAGCAGATAGCGCAAGAAGAGTTTCTTGTATATCATGATATTTAATTGGAATGCTGCTGAAATTGAAAGGCGCTAAAACTAGTTGTTTCATGGTATAAAGCTGTCAGGTCAGTATTGTTGTGCTGCCAGTGGCTTTCCTAGGCTTTTCACATTACTAGTTTACACATTTCACGTACTACTGATTAAAAAAACACCTGAAGGTGAGGATTGAATCTGGGACCTTCTGCATGAAGTTGTATGATTTCAAGATTACTTGAGGCAATTTTTCTGTTGATTGCTCCCTTCATACCATCCCTGTGAGTAGGAATACTACATTTTATACAACAAAGGGAAGTGCACATGCAGGGACTCTTGACCCCAGCCAAAAATCCAAATCAGAAATGAACCAGACTATCATGCTATACTGTGTGCACTTAAGAGCACTGAGCATACAGTGTACCTAACTCGATAGAAATGGCCCAGTGTCACAGCATGGAGGTAAAAACACCTGCTAAACGACACCTCGCACACTATTTCTCCAGGCAGTTGGCAACCGTAGCTCATAACTTGATAATGCTTAATGTGGGGACCAGGAAGCATATTTCCATGTTATTAATAGATCTAATTTTTAGCATGGTATCTTCTGTGCATACTTTAACCCAGAGACTGGAGCCATGAACAGATAATACAGATCATTCTACAAACTGGAGAAAAGCCCCAAGTTTGCAGAAAAATTGGAAGTAATAATAAAAGCAGTGTCTGATATCTTAGTTGTTGTGAGGGTTGTTAGGCAGCCAGAACAATATCGCCAGCCTTCAAATGCTGGTTTCTGTCATTAAAAGGGAGAGGAGAGGGCCTTTTCTATTTTGGTCCCCTAGTTGCCCAGTGCTCTTCTCCCTCCTGTCCTGGAGGGAGGACTCATCAGGGCCAGGACTGGCCACCAGGGCAACTTGCTGCCATGTAATTTGCAGAACTCATCAGGTGTAGCCATTGCTACAACTTGATGTGACACAACTTGTCTGGTCCTAGCAGTAGCAGTCTCTGCAACCGGGCTGGGCCAGATAGGGCTACCACATAAATCACTTAAGTGATTTTTTTTAGTGCATGGCTAGACTTTTCCTAAGGAGAGAAGAGGAAAAGCTAATATCCAGTGTGATGTGGACAGAGTGTCAGACTAGGATTGGGGAGACCCAAGTTCAGATCTTGTCTCTGCCATAGAACCTTGCTGGGTGATGTTGGGCGAGTCTTGGCCTTATCTACCTCACAAAGTTGTAAGGATAAAATCGAGGCATGCAGAATTGTGTAACCTGTTTTGGGTCCGGAGAAAGGTGGGATATAAATGGAGTAAATGGATAATAAACCTGAAGGTGGGAGGGGCCCAAATAAAAGTTGGTTGGTGAGTGGGAAAAAGGAAGAAGTGGGAAGGAGCTTGAAGGGGGAATAAAGTAACCTCTGCAAATCCTTGTGGGTTCCTTTCTTGTTTTGCTTTATTTTAACAATTATTTCATTTTAGTTGTTGGTTAAACCTGCTGTTCCAGGATAAATACAAAAGAACTTGGTGAATTTTCACATATTTAGGAACCTAACTTTACGTGGATGAACGTTTGAACTAAATCTTTTAAAAAGTTAACTGCATTGTTTCACAATAACTAATGTGTGTTTGCAGTTATCAGACATTTTGAACATTATATCTTCTAATAAAATTAATGCTTTAAAAATACTTAAGCATTATTCAATTGAACACTTTTAAAAATTGGCCAGTCCAAAATCTCACAAAATATGCCTAAAATCATGCTGTTAAAATGCTCAATTAAAAACATTTTGGATGTGTTCAAATATATTTAACTAGTTTAGACTGATGCTTCTAGAAGATAGCATAAAATTTGGAGTTCCCTCAGATCGAACAAAGAACAAAGTGTTTATTCACTTAGTACAAAACAGAAATTGTCTTTGAAACTGAAAAACAGTACCAGTTAGGTCCTGCATGGAAAAAAAAATAGTTTGATTTGAATTTCTTGGTTTTGAAGGCAGTCCACACCTGCTTCTTTAGAATCAGGGTGATAATTCAATAAGGTTTATGCCCAAGTGTATACTTAGATAGATTTGCAACCCCCTTTACTTCAAAAGTTTGGAAGCCATCTTGATTGCTATTTTTTGACGATCCCTGAATTTTGTACTTTTTCTCTGCCCATTTTTCTCCTTCCTGGATTGCAACCTTTCTGGCTTCTATGCTCCGCTAGTGCTTAATTCATGGTAACAGTGGTGATTTTTATCACCTCCAGATCCAGATATTTATTTATTTATGTACTTCATTCATAGTCCACCTTTCTTGCTAAATGTAGGATTTAGGATCAGAGAGACCCAGGTTTTAATCCCCATTCTGACACAGACAGTCGTGGCCACTCAGCCTCCCCTACCTCACTGGGTTGATGTAAGGATAAAATGGAGGAGGGAAGAATTATGTACACTGCTTTCACTCTTCATTAGGGAGAAAGGCACAGTGAATAAATGAAGTAAACAAATGATTAAAAAAACACTAGCCTAATTTTTGTTGTTGCCATTGTTAAAACAGTTCTCAAGGACAAGTTGGAGACCATGGCCTGTTGGATCGGGAGTTTCTGGACTCTCCAGCTTTATCAATAACTGCTGGTTCAGAAAGAAATATACAGTAGCTCGTGATCAGATGTACTTGTTCACAAGCAAACCTCCCTCCTCTTCTCGGCAGTCTCGAGTTGTTTTTAGTAAACGAAAGAAACATCAGCCCAATACAGAATGCAAATTGCTCAAAAGCCTCAATCTCTGACTGGTGTTTGCTCATGCGTACTTCGTCTTCACCTGGACCTGGGAATCCCATTCACGGAACCATAGAATTAGGAACCCTAGGAGAGAGTTTCTGCCTTCAGTCAAAAGAGATACGACGGGACAGAAACGTTTTACATGCATACCGCTAGCAGACATCAGACAATGTAAATAAAACTGGGGGATAGATACTTCTTTACAATAATCATGTCCCACGGCTAAAATATTACTTTTCTCTCTGAGTTGCTGTATTAATTTCGGTTAGCCTTCGGAGAAAAGCGCTTGTAAACAATTCACTCATAATAATTCACTTTTGGCCAGCACATGAAACAGTACAGCGATCGCAATTGAGAACCGGAACTTATTGGCGAAACTAAGGCGGTAGCTTCCGGCCGTTCTGTTCCGGGGCGTCTTACACGCATGCGTCTTTTCATTACTGTTGGTTCACTTTCACGGAAGCGCTTTCGGGTCGGCATCTGCAGGCGGAGGAGCGGCGTGTTTCGAGGAGACTGTCACCATGGTGAGCGAATGGAAGACTAAGCTTCGCGCGATCCCTTGTTTTCATGGCTTCTTCGTGCCCTTACCCATGCACCAAGCCACCTATGTCTCTAGGAGCCTCTTACCCATCTGGGGCATCCATACATTCATGCGCTCGAGAGAAGGAGCCGCGTGCATTTCGACCGCTGCTGCTGTTTTGATGCTCGCTAGATGGCTTTGAGCGGAGTCATTCGCGCACAGTTTCTTATGATAGATGCTTGCAACCAGTGTTCCCTCTAAGCTGAGTTAGTGTGAGCTAGCTCACAGTTTTTTTGTTTAGCTGGAGTTTAGCCTCCAGCTCACAGATTTTTTCTTAGCTCAGGAAGGATGGCTCCAGAGCAAACTAATTTATGCAGTAGCCACATTGCTTGCTCACAACTTTAATGCCAGAAGCTCACAAAGTAGAATTTTTGCTCACAAGACTCCACAGCTTAGAGGGAACATTGCTTGCAACACCCCCCCCCCCATATAATTCATGTACCTTTTAAGTGCTACAAGACTGGGAGAAAGTCAAACAGGCGCGACTTTCTCAAGCTGGAAAAAGGAACCTGTTGAATTTCTGGCCGCTCTGTAACTTGTTAGAAAAACCAAAGAACAAAAATAACTGTTTACAGAAATGTCAAAAAATATTTGTAGAATACTTTTTATAAAGTGTCACAAAGAACGTATGATTACAACAATATTATGACAATTACTTTCTACAAATAATGTAAACCACTCAGTTCATGAAAACAGTCCAAAAAAATCCAAAACAAATAGAGGTGCTTCAGATAAAGACCATTAGAACGTAGACACTTTTACAACCCAATGTCTTCAGGGATCAGTTCACATCATACTTGTGTCGTAAGGTGTTGGTTCAAGGCTTGCTTCATGCGTTTTCCGGCTTCCTAATCGCATATCGCTCAAGGCTTTTTCAAAATCCAAGTCAAGAGTCTCCCAATTTACTTTAGAATAATGCTTTCAACGGGGACCTCCATCTCCCATGTCAACAAAAAAGATAAGAACATAAGAGACGCCAATGTTGGATCAGGCCAAAGGCCCATCCAGTCCAACACTCTGTATCACACAGTGGCCAGAAATACCAGTGCCATCCGGAGGTCCACCAGTGGGGCCAGGACATTAGAAGCCCTCCCACTGTTGACCCCCCCCAAGCACCAAGATGACAGAGCATCACTTGCCCCAGAGTCCCTATCTATACCTTGTGGCTAATAGCCACTGATGGACCTCTGCTCCATATGCTTATCTAATTCCCTTTTGAAGCCGTCCATGCTTGTAGCCGCCACCACTTCCTGTGGCAGTGAATTCCATGTGTTAATCACTCTTTGGGTGAAGAAGTACTTCCTTTTATCTGTTCTAACCCGACCGCTCAGCAATTTCATGGAGTGCCCACGGGTTCTTGTATTGTGAGAAAGGGAGAAAAGTACCTCTTTCTCTACCTGCTCTTTCCCATGCATAATCTTATAAACCTCAATCATGTCACCCCTCAGTCGTCGTTTCTCCAAGCTAAAGAGCCCTAAGCGCTTTAACCTTTCTTCATAGGGAAAGTGTTCCAACCCTTTTATCATTCGAGTTGCCCTTTTCTGCACTTTTCCCAAAGCTATAATATCCTTTTTAAGGTGTGGTGACCAGAACTGCACACAGTATTCCAAATGAGGTCGCACCATTGATTTATATAGGGGCATTATGATATTGGCTTATCTGTTTTCAATACCCTTCCTAATAATCCCCAGCATAGCATTGGCCTTCTTTATTGCAGTCACACACTGTCTCGACATTTTCAGTGAGTTATCTACTACAACTCCAAGATCTCTCTCTTGATCAGTCCCTGCCAGTTCAGACCCCATCAATGTGTATTTATATTTAGGATTTTTGGTTCCAGTGTGCATCACCTTGCACTTGGCCACATTGAACCCCATTTGCCATGTTGACGCCCACTTGCCCATCCTTGACAGATCCCTTTGGAGTGCCTCACAATCCTCACTGGTTTTCACCAGTGAAGCGTAGACATGGGAGATATTCTACAAATATTTTTAACATTTCTGTACGCAGTGATTTTATTTTATTTTTTGCTGTACTGTGTATTATCCCTGTTTGGTTTTTTGATTTCTGTAACTTGTTAGAGGCACAGAAGCTTCGCTTCTAATCATGTTATGTACAGGAGATTTACAATCAAAGCACTGAAGTGCTTTTAGTTTTTTCGACTCAAGCACATTGGAAACAATTTTATTAAAGAAACCCTTTTTATAATATGTTTTGAGTGTAAGAATTCAGGATAATATCTTAATGGTAACCTCAACATTTTTGGATTATGCAATAATGAATTATTAATTTGTACAGGCACTGGTTCTGATACAACTTTTCCAAGAGAGAGATGTGCTCCAAACGAATTATCAAATTAGAGATTTTAATTGAGAATTTGGTTTTACAGAAAGTTGGTCAGGAAGAAAGAAAGAAACTTACACAATGTTTCTTGAAACTGGTCAAAGAAAATAAGATGTATGAAACGGGGGGGGGGGGACCCTGGAAAATCATGTAGAAGGCTACCTGATAGTAACTGTCAAGTTATTTGTTCAAAAACAATTGGGTGTCCTTCTAAAAGACACATGAGTTACTGTCACTGGGTTGCTGGTAGGATTGTCTTGCTTGTTTTGTATATGACACATATTATGAATGTTAGAGTGTCATAAAATCTAATCTCCCTGTTCATATATTTGGAGCCCATTACTTTTTAAACAGTTAAAATTTTCATTCATAGTTAGGTATGCAGCATTTGCTTTAGAGAGCAAATGGTCTTTGAGAGCAAAAAATTGGGTTGTTGGGAAACGACTGACCGCATTATCATGTTGATTTTAGTGGTTTCTGTAGTTATCCCTGGATAATATCCTCCAAACTTAATGTTTCTGGGATCACTTCTGCCCCCCTCTTTTAAAAAAAGATTTAATTGTATTTCCTTTCCTTGTTTAGGCTCGAAATGCAGAAAAGGCCATGTAAGTATTTATTTAATTAATTAATTAATTTCTACCCCGCCCTGCCTGTTGAAGCAGGCTCAGGGTGTCATATGTAGGATAATTACTGTTTGAATTTGAGGTCATTGGCACTGAGAAGCTTGAACATATTTTCTGATAGTGGTTCTCTTTGTCAATTAAGTTGTGCCTTTACAGCTTTCATATATTAATTTTGGCATTCTCTGACTGTACCTTCATTTTATACATAGTGGCATATACCCTACATTAAGCTGAAGGAAACTTTTCCAGGCTAAGGAGCCTTCCTCCAACTTAAATGGTCTCTGTTTTGGAGGAAGAACCATTGTGTTGAAAGCAGGCTTCAAAATCTGCTCAACAGAGTTGCAGGCAGGGCTGTAGCCAGTATTGGGCGCGATGCCCTCTCCCCCAATCTGCAATGCCCCCCAACAACCCTGGAAGGTAGGTTACCTGTCGTTTGCAGAGCTGCCTTCTCCTGAGCCAGGGACCTTCCATCTGAGAGCCGAGCCAAGCCGGAGGGGCTAGGACAGGGATTTGATACCAGCGGGACAGGGTGGGTGGCGGACCAATTCTGGTCCCATGGCCAGGTGTTTACACCTCTGTCTGGCTGGCGTGTTCAGTGCACATGCCCGACGCCTGCTGCGCAGAAGCAGCCGCAGCCAACCCACGCAGGTAAAGGGAGAGTGACCGGAGGGTGGGGTGGGCCCTCAGGGGTTCCTGCAGGCAGCGGGTCACTTTGGCTCTCTGTCAGGGAGGCACCGGGGCATAGGCTGCCTGTGCAGCCACTGAGCCCATCCCCACTGGACCTCGCTGGAGGAAGGAGTGGCGGGCCCACAGGAGGCTCCTCCGTGTGTGCTTGGCAGCAGCAGGGCCAGAGAGGAGCCCACTCCTACTGGAGCTCACAGGGGGAAGGCAGAAGGAGGCTTCTCCATGTGCTCTCGAGGCAGAGGAGCCATCCTGTGGTTCATCAGCTGGCGCTGGCTATTCCTCCCTCCCCATCTCCTTTAATATAATTCAATTTAATTAGCACCCCTTGTGCCCCCTCCTGAAAAAATTCCTGGCTGTGGCCCTGGTTGCAGGAAGCCTTAGGCTAGAAAAAAATCTTCAAAATATGCTCATTGAAATGGTGGGATACATGCCAGTGTTCCAATACTAAGCTGCACAATAGGTAATAATTGTGAGACACTTAACTGCTTTGAGTATTCTGGTTGTAGAGCTCTCTTAATGCTGAAATATACATTATTGCATGTATACATGAACTTCTTAATTGAGACCTGGTAGGTTGATTGGATGGACAGATGGATGCTAAATGCAACTTTCTTCCTTTTAGGACAGCCTTAGCGAGATTTCGCCAAGCTCAGCTGGAGGAAGGAAAAGTTAAGGTAAGCTGGAAAGCAAAACGTACTTCAACCACATTCGGTTAGGGTCAGCAACTTTTCATGTAAGGAGCACAGATCTTTGCTGTGTTCCTCTTCTCCAACAGCACCTTCTGACCCCAGGAAAATTGACTGCAGCAGTTATGGGGTCCATGTGGACTAATAGACCTGCTGAGTCAGGAGGCCGCATTGATAGGGCAAAACCACCCTCTCCTTCCGCTTCTGGACGTACAGCTCTACTGATGGAAGGGGTAGAAGGCACAGTTTGGCCCCCCGTTCTCTGCTCAGTGCAGTACCCCGGTGAGTTTTGCAGCACCAGGATATCAGCATCAGGAGGGACAGTTGGAAGGGGAATGCAATAAAGATCCACATGCATCTGCTGATGAACTGCAGGATCCAACCCATTCTTTGAAGTTGAAATGCTTTAGGAATTTACTGGTCGAAATGCCTCGTAGACTGTTCTTGCGATACACAGCTGCTAGCAATGCTCCCTCTAAGCTGTGGAGTCTTGTGAGCAAAAATTCCACTTTGTGAGCTACTGGCATTAAAGTTGTGAGTGAGCGATTTGGCTACTGCATAAATTAGTTTGCTCTGGAGCCATCCTTCCTGAACTAAGACAAAAAAATGTGTGAGCCTGAGGCTAAAAAACTGTGAGCTAACTCACACTAACTCAGCTTAGAGGGAACACTGGTTGCCAACCTTCTAATAATAATATATTATCATCTTGGGAGTTATATATTGCAATTTGTGTTTTCTCTTGTGTTTCATATGAACTGGAAAGAAGTGGAATGGAAGCAGTCTTGTATAACAAGGAAGGCATTAATCAGATGGGCTGGGACTTGTGAAAAAGGCATTGGTAAATTGATTATAGAATTCTTTTTTTTTTTAATCTGAGCAATTAATATTTAAGTCTAAAATTTATTTTATTAATTCATTTTATAGACTGCTTTCCCCTACATGTAGGGCACAGGGCGATGAACAACATTTCAGTAGATTACAGTCAAATCAAGATACAGTTAAAATTCCAAAAAATTTCAATAGCTATTACAAGATGGCACTTAAAACCAATTCCTATCCTTACCTCATAAATAAGGGCAAAAGGAGGAGAAGAACAGGGAGAGGCCAGGCATGGTGGAAACCATGGCTGTTCTCAACCATAGGCCTGGCAGAACATCTCTGTCTTACAGGCCCTGCAGAATTGTGCCTAGTCCTAAAGGGCATGGATGTAATTTGGCAGAGAGTTCCTCCAGGCAGGCATCAGGGCCGAAAGGCCCTGGCTCTGCTTGAGAACAGCTTTTGGGCCAGGGATCACCAGAAGGTTCTTCTCTCCAGAGTGTAATGCTCTTCTGGTGGTATATCAGGAGAGGCAGTCCCATAGATATGTTGGTTATATAATGTTTGGGTACAGTTATTTGCCTTACATTGCAAGCCTTGTTTCTGTCATGTGCCTCCAACCCAGGAAGATAAGTGACTCTGTATGTAGATCCCATGGTGTAGCACAGAAATTATTTACCATATGTTGTTGGTTAAACATGGGACTAGCGAAGGTGACAGTCATCTACACTAGAAACTTCTGAGGAGGAAGATTGCATGGAGTGCCTTCAAATAGTTTTTAGAGCTTAAGAAGAATTCGTCGGGTGTCTGCACAGTGCGGCGCTGCGAGCGGGCGTGCCTCGGAGCGCTCTGAGGACACTCGCTTCCACTTCATTCTTTTGGTGACCCCCCGATGTTCGGGTGGGTTCCGCTTCGCTTCCTGGAGGGAGGTGGAGTGGCAGCGGGCTCAGCTTGTCACCCCCGCTGATGGCAATCACGGTGACTTCGATGCTACGCCCTGAAGCAGGAACGAAGACTGGAGGAGGCATGGTCTCCATGTTTCCGCAGCAGCGACCAGCCGTTTTTATTTTAATTTTCGCTTATGGTAAGCAACACATCATTTTCAAGAATCTTCCCTGCTCGTATCTTCATACAGCATTACATTGTTGAGTTAATACCCCCCTTTAATTATCCCCAAAACTGTCCTGAAAGCAGCTATTTGAAGGACTGGGGGGAATGAATATTTTGGAGAAGTGGGGGTAAGAAAGAAAGTATCTGTGAGCCAAGAGTAAAATGTACAAAACAACCTGATTTGTTGAATAAGCAGTAACAACAGTGGTGAAACCCCAGAGAATAATATTTAAAAGCATAGTGGTTTGTTTGTGCTGGAGAGACAAAATGGCGACAATAGAAGAAAAGGAAGAGCTTGACCTGAACATGCAAGTAGGAAAACTTACTTATGAGCAATTTAAAAGATTCTTAACGGATACAATTAAAGAAGCAGTGACAACAGCTTGTAAAAATTTGTTTAAATAGCCTCAGGACTTGCAAGTAGATTTGGAAAACATGGATAAGGAGGATCCGAATCAATATTTTCAAGCGCCAGATGAACAACAGGACTACGGCCAGGAGAGGGAGCTACCAGATAAGGAATCTTTAATTATACAGAATTTCGACCAGGAGATGGAGATTTATAGAGGACATCATGTAAAAGAACAGGATTTGAACTAAAAACAGAAGTGAAAAAAAGGACTTTCTTTAACATTTTTAGTGAAAAAGAACAATAGTGGTGAAAGACAAGAAGTCAAGGGATTCTGGAAAGAACTCTAAAAAGCATAAAAGATGGACATCTTGCCTATGGAAACAGGAAAGGAAAAGTTGGGATCTGAGGAGTCATGAATACAAAGACAGTAGACATATAGAAGAGATCCAGAAGAAGAAAGTGGCAACAGAAAGATGGAAAAAAACCGTGAGACAAGAACTTTAAGTGTGTATATGATATTTTTCTTTGCTTACTAATAAAGGTTTTTGTTAAGAAGGAAATGGTCACGGATGAGAATTCTTATATTGCTTGTTGTCTTAAGTAGCACTTTGAAAGAAGATATTTGTGATTATAATGTTGTTGTCTGTTTTATTTTTGTTTTTGGTATTTTGCCCTATTATGTGTGGAGCTAGTAGTGATTGGTAATAATGAATTAGTAAGGGGGTAATTGGGTTACAGCAAAAATTTCTTTTTCTTTTTGGTAGATAAGGGTTTTATAAAAAGAGAGTGATTTATATTGAGCTTGGCTTAACTGAAATTTTATATCTTTTGTGTTTGTTTTTTTGGTTTGTCTATTTATACTTTTGTTTTGGCTTTATTATGATTGGGCTTGATTCTCATGGGGATATTGTTAATTATGAAATAGTAAAGGTACAAGTGGGCTAATTAGGGTTGAAAATTGATTTAAATTTGGGTATTTTGATTAAATTGTATTTTGGATATATTTATAGCTTATAGACTTAGATATTGCTTAAATTGTTAAAGAAATCTTACTGGTTTTGGCTTGAAAGTGATTCTAAGAGAAACGAAACTGAATATCTTATTCACAGCTCCATAGTAATGAAAACAATATAATACTTAAAGGAAATAATTACTATCTGTTTGAAATCTTTGAAAAATTGATTGATATAAGGGAGCCATATTGAAATGTATGAAATATGTGATCTGTAATATTATGGAGATATTAATATATTGGTGAGATGGTATGATTAATGTATTATTTCCTCTACGATGTTTTGATGTGTGCAAAAATATTGCTGATTACTCTTCATTTTTTTAAATCAATAAAACTATTTTTAAAAAAAGAATTTGTCACAGCCGACATGGTGATCCTCTAGTAGTACGAAAATGTTAAGCTTTTTCTACATGTCCATTTGTTTTGATCATGGGGTTCTGCTTCCTCAGTTATAAAAGGAAGCCAGAAGAAATCCTCTAACCTTTCACCTCCCCTGATGTTGGTCTTGCCAGAGAACCAGCCATTGAGCATTTTGTTCTCATTGCAATTATAAACTTGAGTTTCGCACATGACACCATTTTATGCCTCTAGCTGGCCATGTGATGCAGCTCTTACAAATCTGTGTTCTCTCTGGGTTGTTAAACAATAATGCTATGTATTTGCTTTACTTTTGTATAATACCTATCTGTTCACTTCATCTAATAGAGAACATTGTGGTAGTGTGCCTAATAAGTTGTAAATATAGACAGGGTATAGTCTTCGTGATACAGTTTCAGAAGGCAGCCGTCTTGGCCTCCAGCAGAAGAGCTAGATTAGATTCCAATAGCACCGTAGAGACTCAACAACATTTTCGGGGTATTAGTTTTTGAGAGCCAGAGCTGACAAAGCTGTCTCTTGAAAGCTTATAACTCCCAGATCTTTTTGGTTTCTAAAGTGCTCCTAGACGACTCCAGTCTAGCTCTTCTTCATACAGTATTTATTCTAATAGAATAATCTTTTTTTCCCATGGAGTATAACTTATTTTGAGGGGGGGAATTGCCTTCTTTCCAAGTAAATGTGGTACTCTGGGGACTCCCCGCATATGCACAGAAAAGGGTGAAAACCCCTTACAGAAGCCAAGAAATGTGCGAGCCAGAGGCTAAAAAGCTGTGAGCTAGCTCATACTAACTCAGCTTAGAGGGAACTCTGGTCACATCTGTAGGCAAGTACAAGAGTAATCCTAAGCAGGTGCACTGAGAGTCCTACTTCGGCCCAATCAGTGGGGTTTACTCCCAGGAAAGTGGTGTTAAGATTGCACTGTATGTCCCCTCGCCTTTAGGAAAGCAGTGATGGGATTACCATTTATGTCTGATCAAGGACAGCAATTTAAAATTTTGGTCCAGAAACTAAGGGCCACATTCTGGGGACCTACCATTCCCCAACAGGTAGTTTACAGTTAAAAAGCAACTGTATGGTGGCACTAGAGAGAAGGGGCTAGCTCTTCTCCAACCTCACCCCTTTTCCTTGTCAAAACCACTATTGTCATGACTCCACTATCCTGGCTACTATTAGCTCCAGTAGGAAAAAAAGATTGGGACACACAAACCCCTTTCCTGAACTAATAGCAGCCTGGGAGTGCGGGTAGCTTAGAGGAACCAGTGTTGTGGACTGAAGTTGAATTCCACTTTTACCCAGTGCTTTAAGTTAAACTGTATGCATCATGTGTACTTTGATCCTCATTCTTTTAGAGTGCATTATATTCATCTTTGAAGCTAAGGACATTTAGTGACTTCTGAAATTAAATTAGTTAAAAAAGAACTGTAATAAAATTGCCTTTCTTTTCAGCAGACTAAGAGCAAATACATTGAACCAGCAACAGCTTGTGTACTAGACACAGGGCTCCAGGACCGCTGGAAGTGCTATGAGGAAGTGTGGATCTCAAGAAAGGCATTTGCTGTGAGCCCCAGGAAGAAGGGAAATACTGTCAGGAGTCCAGATACCTGTTTATTACAGGATCTGCCCTGCAGCTAGTGCTCATTTAGCTGCTTGAAGAGACCAAAGATAGCCTTATGGTGCTTTCAAAAGATGCTCAGGTGTAGACTTTTCATTTTCCAAGTGAAGGGAATGAACTATTTTCAAGGCAGCCAAAGGGTATGTTAGACTATGTAGCCTGATTTTGTATTTGGTACACAGGTGGACTAGCTACAGGTCTAGGGATAGCATAAAATGCAGAGGAAACACAACCATTAATGGGGATGGTCCCTGAATAGCCTACTGTTATAGAGACCAGGAAAGTATACTTGACTGCTTTGGCTGTGTGTGCATGTTAAATGTTACAAAAGTTTGAAGAAAAAATGATGTATTTATTTTTTCCAAACAGGAACGAAGGCCTTTTCTTGCATCAGAATGTAATGAACTGCCTAAAGCTGAGAAATGGAGACGTCAGGTATTTATTGTCTATTATGGTGTGGCATGTCCTGGGTGGCTGTCTTACTGTCAGTGCTGTGCTTTCTGAGGACATTCAGAAGATTTATTATATTTTTGTAGCTTCTTCTAGTGGATCAAATTTGGCAATATAATTAAAGTATAAAAGACATAGCTTCTTGACCTGGACACTAAAACTCTTAAGCTCACCAAAGAAACAGGGAAATTAGGGGGATGGGGGCGGTCAGCAACACATGGAATCTCCCCTTCCTGTTAATAGCCCCTTTTCACCTGTTCCTCTCACCCAAAGAATTCTGCTCCGCGTATGAACTATGATATCCTGATTCATCTTATAATTCCACTGTCTGTTTCATCCCAGTCTATAAGCAATAAATAAGCTGTGGACTTTAGGCTGGATATGCAGTATTTTTGAAAGAAAACTAACTTGTTTCTGTAGGTGTCACATAACATTTTAAAAAAATAGTAGTTTGTGTCTAATTTGCCTGACAAAAAAACTAATTGCTGCGTATTATTTTTAAGATTATTGGTGAAATTTCCAAGAAAGTGGCACAAATTCAAAATGGTAAGTACTTGATAAAGGGCAACTTGTTTAATGCTCTCATGACTCCGGAAACTCTGGTTTTCATTAACATTGCTTAAGTCTGTAACTGCTTTTGACTTCTAATCTTAAAGGGCTGCCACAGCTGAAGTCTAGCCTCATGATGGTGAATTGATGAAGCTGCTGTTCCAGATCATCTGTAATTTGCAGTTGTGAAGACAGGATAATGAGATTTCTGAATTATTGCAAAACTAGTACTTGGCAAGTCTATCTCCAAGCAACCCTTTCTTTGAATCGTTATTAGCAAATCTTATTGATGCCACTCCGGGTTTAGTTTTTAGTGGGTTTGGTATATTCAGTTTCTTTGTGGACCATGTGAACATAAGAGACGCCAATGTTGGATCAGCCAAAAGGCCCATCCAGTCCAACACTCTGTGTCACACAGTGGCCAGAAATACCAGTGCCATCAGGAGGTCCACCAGTGGGGCCAGGACATTAGAAGCCCTCCCACTGTTGACCCCCCCCAAGCACCAAGAAGACAGAGCATCACTTGCCCCAGAGCCCCTAGCTATACCTTGTGGCTAATAGCCACTGATGGACCTCTGCTCCATATGCTTATCTAATTCCCTTTTGAAGCCGTCCATGCTTGTAGCCGCCACCACTTCCTGTGGCAGTGAATTCCATGTGTTAATCACTCTTTGGGTGAAGAAGTACTTCCTTTTATCCGTTCTAACCCGACCGCTCAGCAGTTTCATGGAGTGCCCACGAGTTCTTGTATTGTGAGAAAGGGAGAAAGGTACCTCTTTCTCTACATGCTCTTTCCCATGCATAATCTTATAAACCTCAATCATGTCACCCCTCAGTCGTCGTTTCTCCAAGCTAAAGAGCCCTAAGTGCTTTAACCTTTCCTCATAGGGAAAGTGTCCCAACCCTTTTATCATTCGAGTTGCCCTGCCATTAGAGGAAAAGTGAGTTCCAGTAAGGCATAACAAACGAGAAAAAATGAGACAGTCACAATGTAATTATTTATATTGATTTTTTCTTATTTATCAGTATCCTACAGTTCTTGCAGAAAATCAGAATAGGAAGAATGTCTCCTTGAAGTAGTCTATATGTATCAGTGACTGAAACAGCTCTACCTTTTCTCTTTAAAAATAGCTGGTTTGGGTGAATTCAGAATTCGTGACTTGAATGATGAAATTAACAAACTTCTGAGAGAAAAGGGACACTGGGAAGTCCGAATAAAAGAGTTGGGAGGACCTGATTATGCAGTAAGTATGAAACAAGAGTATTTATTTATAGAAACGTTCAGTCAGTAGAGATTTAGCAATCTTTAATTCTAGCCAAGGGAGGCCTGATTGTTACAGCCACACAAATGTGAGAAACTCCACATGCCAACCAGTTGACATAAAATTGTTGTCCAGATAATTTGGAAAGATTAACCACAGTAGCGGTTCAAATCTGAACAAACTGGAATTTTTCCTATATTGTCAGGTTCTGTGCCAGGGGGAAATGTTAATCACTGGTGTTCTTTTTTAAATTAAAGAGAATTGGGCCAAAAATGCTGGATCACGAAGGAAAAGAAGTTCCAGGAAACAGGGGCTACAAATATTTTGGAGCTGCTAAAGACCTACCTGGTGTTAGGGAGCTTTTTGAAAAAGAACGTAAGTATTTTTTGTTGCACATGTAGATCTTTATAGATTAATACCATGAATATAGCAATTCACTGGTCTGAAGCTGTGGAATTTTCAAGTAGAATGCTGTAGGAATTGTTTTGTATACTTCCTATTCTGTTAATGGAAAATATGCAGCTGCAAAATTTTATTATGCAACTGATAGCCTTTCTCAATTTTTATGTATCTTTTTTTGTTGTTCAGTCGCACAGTCGAATCCGACTCTTTGCGACCCCATGGACCAGATCACGCCAGGCCTTCCGGTCTTCCGCTGTCCTCTGAAGTTTGCTCAATTTTATGTTCGTTGCATCTATGACACTGTCTAACCATCTCATCCTTTGCCGTCCCCATCTTTTTTGACCTTCAGTCTTTCCCAGCA